CTGGAATGCCTCACCATAGCGCTGGGTCCCACTGCTCTGGGCGTTTGCCCTGTCATGAGGCAGAGCGAGGCAGCCGCCTCCGGGGGCAGATGCTGGGAGGCAGTAGAGGCAGTAGCCACTCTTCTGTTCCCCGTTGTTGGAGGACAATGTTGTGTGTGTGTCGCAGAGCCTATCCTGCACCCCATGAGCTAGCCTGCTTTCCTCCGGGTCAGTGCAGAGTCCTGTCCCCCCATCGCAAGTACAGACGGTCTGGTTGGATTCTGTCCATGGAAGGAAGATGCCATCTCCTCTTTTGCTCCAGAGAGGAAAATGTCTTGACCCTGCCCTAGAAGCAGTCTTACTGCTGGGCTGTAACCCAGGTGGGCTCTTGTGGTGCCAGCTGGACTGGGCTACAAAGGGTCAGTCGAGGTCTAGAGGAGGAGGAGGAGGAGCAACGTGCCATTCGGTGTGCTCCTCCCATCTGAACAGCATATCAACCTTTAGCTAATTCCTTGTTCATTTAAATGCTTCCCCTGATCCTCTGCAGAGGGTCAGGGGAAGTGAATTTTGTTTTACATCTGCCAAATCATTGCTGGTGTAATGAATCACTTTAATTAAGCTTTAAAAACAATCCCTGTGTTGTGTATGTCCAATTGAGAATCTGCCTACAGTCAGGCAAAGAAGAATAGTTTAAAAATTTAATGGAAGTGATTCATCGCATCAGCAATGATCTAGCAGATGCAATGCAATCTGCAGACGGAACTCTGTCTCCAGCCAGTTCATCGTTAGGGTTATACTCATCAATGGAGACTCTCCGGAGTTTTAGGCTGGAGATTCTTCCCAGACTTGGAAATACCGGGAATGGATCCTGGACCCTTCCACATCCAACGCACATGGTCTTCCGCAGAGCCGTAGCCCTTCCTGGGAGGCCGAGAGGGTGTGGGATGTTCCACAGGCAAACCAGGGAGGGCTCAGGGCAGGGGAGGCTCGCCAGGGTTCCTTCTATGAAGAAGAAGGTTTTAAAAACTAGGTTGAGGCGAGGCATGGAAAGAGCGCAGGAGTGGGGAAGAAGGGCAGAAGGCATGATCACATTTCCCTGTTTCCTTTGCAGAAGGTGCCCAGACGACCCCTGTGTCATTAAAGCTGCCAAGCAATGTAGTGGAGGGATCGGCCCGGGCCTCCTTCTGCGTGCTGAGTAAGTGAGGAGGTCTCTGGAAGAAGCGCTGCTCGTACCTGTGGCCTTCCCCGTAAACCCTCCCCCCCCCAATCTCTCTTGCCCTTCTCTTTTCCAGTGCATTTTTCTGATATTTCTCATTTTTTGAAAACCAATTGTTTGTTCTCCCTTGTCCTCTTTGATTTTATTACTGTTCTATATTGTTGTTCTGTTTGTTTGTTTGCTAGCTGGCTGTATAGCTCAGTGGCTTCGTGTTTAGTCTTGAGAAAAGGCAATGTCCGGTAATTTGAACCCATTGTCATGTGTTTCCTGCACTCTGGGATGATCAAGAATAGATCCTGCCTTTCCTCTAGGTAGTCATTCAGAGGAGGGGCAGGATCTGTTCTCCATCACCCCAGAGTGCAGGACACGTAATATTGGGTTCAAGTGACCGGAAGACAGATTTTAGTTGAATATCAGGAAAAGCTTCCTAACAGAGCAGTACGATGACAGTGGAACCAGCGACATCAATAGGGGGTGATGGCTCCAGCCCTGGAGGCCTTCAATAGAAATTCAGACAACCACCTGGCAGATCTCCTTTGATTTGTATTCCTGCAATGAGCAGGGGGTTGGACTCGATCCCTTTATAGGCCCTTTTCAACATCACAATTCTGTGAAAGTCAATTTTCCCCTCTCCTTTTGAGGCTTTTTAAATTGTGGTGCGCCTTTGTTACAAAAAGAGGAAGGCTTAGCTTAGCAGAGGTGGCGGTGGTTGGTGTCCGTGGTAGTCAGTGTGGTGGATGGCACAGAGCCTGAGTTGGTGGAGGTTGGAGGATGATGGGCAGAGGATAGAGGACAGGGGCTCCTCATCTATGCACAATCCCCGGATGCTTTTGAAACTGTCCTTGTGGCACGCCTTTGTTACAAAAAGAGGAAGAGACGAGGCTTCACTTAGTGTGGGCAGGGGTGGCCGTTGCCCGTGGCGGTCAGTGCGGTGGACGGCACAAAGTGCGGGTGGGTGGAGCCAAGGGAGGACAGGGGCCCTTCATGCAGCCCCAGCCTTCACACAGCAGGAGAGGAACAGAGGGGAGGGATCCTGACCCTTTCCATCTCGGCTAAGGAGGCAGCCAAGGGTGGGCCAGCTTGGAGGAGGGAGGGGGACAGTGGCTTCAGCCTAAGTGTCAGTGCAGATGCCCCCCTGGTTTCGCCTGAAGTGCAAGCCTCCAGGGGCTACAGGTCTCCGCCTTTTTGGTCGCCTGTTGCTTTCCCTCGCAACCGGTGGCTTTTGAGCCCTTTCCGGCTTCACAGGCCCCTTCCATCTCTGCCATTCGATGACTCTCTGTTTGGATTCCTGCCCTTTGGAGGCTCGAGGCCCTTCCAGCCCCCTTCCTGCTCTCTGATCCTCTGAGTCGGTTCTTTGACTTTCTCATGTGTTTCTCCCACCCCTTTAGGTGACATTTTGGGGAATGCGATCCAGAATCTGCACCAGCTTCTCCGGATGCCCTACGGATGCGGGGAGCAAAACATGGCCCTTTTCGCCCCCAACATCTACATCGTAGACTACCTGAATCACACCGGGCAGCTGACGGAAGCTGTGAAATCCAAGGCCATCGGCTACCTTGTGGCTGGTAAGGAGGCTCTCGGGCTCTGGAGGAGGGAGGGTGCCTCTGTTCTTCTTTTCCCTGGAGTTCCCTGGGCCATGTACAGTAGGACCCCCATATCCACGGGGGATCAGTTCCAAGCCCTCCCTGCGGATGCTGAAAAACACACATTACATGGAACGCTATTTTAAGAGCCAATAGTATACATAGCATGGCCTCTGTCTCCCTCTCGTGGCCAGATCTGGTAATCTCACCTTTAAAATTTTATATTGCTAGGATTTTTAAAATATTTTCAGGCTGTGGATAAGTGAATCAGCGGACAGTGATCCCATGGATATGGGTGTCCTGTCATATTTTCTTAATCAGCCCAGCATGATCATGTTCATTCAGAGGGGTCGATCTGACCAGGTTAGCGGGATATAAATCAAACAATTAAATAAATAAATAAATCATGATATTCATTCTCCCTTTCAGGCTATCAGAGGCAGCTGAACTACAAGCACTCTGACGGCTCCTACAGCACCTTCGGGGAACATTACCAGGAGCCCGGAAATGCCTGGTGAGAGTCTCAATGTTAGCCTTAAGTAGAAAGCCGTGGGTGTGGGGGGTGGGGTGGGGGTGAATTCCTGGGAGAATCCGGGAAAGCTAAGAGATAGCAGGGCTTGAAAGTAAGAAGTTCCAAGCAGAAAGGGGAGCTTCGTATTCGTCTCCTGTGTTACTCATCGGGGCATCTTTCCTTAATGTCATCGACCCGGCTGACAAGATCATCTCAGTCGAGGCTCCTCCAGGGGCCGCCCTGAGGGGGGCCCGTAAGTCTTCTGCTCGAGGTGGTGCCTTTTCAGGAGTGGCTCCAACCTTAAGGAAACAGCTTCAGGAAGGAGCTCCACCTTGCCCCCTCCCCTCTTGATATTTAGGCGGGAACGAAGGACATAGCTTTTTAGGGAGGCTTTCCACACCAGCCTTAGCTGATCACTCTTGCTCCCCCCACCCCCTTTTCCTCCATCGTCTCTGGTTTTTATCTGATTCGTCTGTGCCATCTGTTCCTTCCAGGTGATTGGCAAACTCCCTTTAATGCTTATTTTGTCTTGTATGATATTTTTGTAACCTCCTAGAATGGTGCCTTGGCATGAGTGGGAGTAAGATATAAGTTGAATGAATGAATGAATGAACGAATGGGCAAGGCCTGCTGAAATGACCAAAGCTGGCAAAATCAAACTCTTAGTGATTCTTAGCAAACTATTCCCAACCGTACACTGGATAACTCTCTTTTTTGCCTCTTGGTGACCATAGTGTCTGTTTTACGAGGATTCACATCCAAACAGACATTTTAAAGAAAAATGCAGTACAGTGGTGCCTCGCTTAATGGGCGCCCTGTTTAACGACGAAACCGCATAGCGACGATTTTTTGCGATCGCTTTTGTTTTACATCTGCCCTATGGGGAAAAATCACTTTGCGATGATCGGTACCCTGTTTCGCTTACCGATCATCGCAAAGCGATGATTTTTTAACAGCTGATTGACAGTTCCAAAATGGCCGCCGGGTAAACAAAATGGCCGCCCACTGTGTTTTCGCACTGATTCCTTGCTTACCAGGCAGTGGAAATGGCAGCCGTATGGAGGATTTTCGCATTAAGGTGAGTTTTAAGCCCACAGGAACGCATTGAAGGGGTTTCAATGCATTCCTATGGGCTTTTTAAACTTGCATAGCGACGAAATCACTTTGCAGCGATTTTTGCTCCACGGATTATCATCACTATGCGGGGCACCACTGTACTTCTTTTTAAGGCCTGCCTAAGAAATCCTTTTAATGAAATGAAAGAAAGTAACTTCTCTTCTGGGGCTTCTCTGATGGGACTGGGTTTTTAAAGGGCTTTTGAATGCTCATTGAAGGCTTCCAGTTGGCGCTTCTGCCACAGAAATGGAAGCAGTGTAGCGCTAAACTCCGTTCCCCGGGGAAAAAAGCAAGGCAAAATGGTTGAATGAAACACAGGGAGTTACAGGAAAGGTCACAGTATTAATCAAAGTAGGAGGAATGTTGTGCGGTTGGTGGGAAAATACTCATGAAATCAGTTCACAACCCAGTAGATAAAGAGGAAAAAGTTTCCAACTAAAAAAGCACAGAGCTTGAAAGTACATAGTTTGCTAGACATAGCAACTTAGATTTAATTCTTTTCCACAGGAATGAAAGTCTTACTGATTTATATTGGGAATGGATCTTATTGATGGAAACCTTCATTCCAAAAGTTATTTACAGTTGCTTTCTAATTAGAGTAGGACTGTTGTATCTGTAGTGGATCAGTTCCAAGCCTTCCCGTGGATGATGAAAACCATGGATATAGCAAACCCTATATATTTCACAGTCTCTAGTTCCCTCTAGTGACCAGTTTTGGTACTACATCCTGGAAATACATATTTCTGTGATTTTTATTTAATATTTTGAAGCAGCGG